AGAACTTTAATCTGGGTTAGAGCTGTATATTAAAGTATTAGTAGAACACCGTTCTACAGATCCGTAGTTTACTTCAGTTTAGCAAAATAATTATGCTTTTTGGGCATTTAATTTCCCCCATTGCAAACAATAAGACCATTTATGATAAATAAATCATTTTAGAGGTGAGATGTTAGCTGGCCTTGACATTCCTGAGGGCGCATGCAATCTTTCTTTAATTGAAAAGCTGCTACTAAATTGATGTAGATTTGTTTGCCTTTGAAGAAAAAAAACATTTTGAAAACATAAACATAGTAAAAAAATGTTAGCTCTGTTTACACAGTCCTTGTAAAAAAAATATATGTGCAAGCTAACATTGAGGTTACTTTCAGCAGTCGCACACAGCATCGAGGCTTGTCAGAATGAGCGCCCTGGACACTGTTCCCTCTGTAGCAGAGCACCCACAGAACCTCCCCTGATGCTCACGTCTCCTCAACCACCCCTCCACCTTCACCTCCACCATTGGGACTGCAAGGTTAGTGGAAAAGGCAGTGTCCTACCTGATGAAAAGACAGCTCCACACAAACACTATTTGCTTATACAAGGAGGGGTCCTTTTATTCAACAGGACAATGTCACTGTTTACTTTTCTTTGTCTACACATTTTTAAGCACCAAAACCATCAGCAAGACTGGAAAAATGAAGACGTCAGAGAGGCATGCAATTGTAGTAACTGACATGTTCAGACATAGTGGCACCCCTATTTCAAAGCCCATGATTGACTAGCATACATGTTGTCAGTTTTCTTCAATTGACTTTAGCCGACATGACTGACACCTCTCACACAAGAGGTAAATCACTGTTTACTGACAACATTGTACAAAGGGTGTCCCTTTTAAAAAGAAAACAATCTTGACTAAAATATAATAGGGCCGATGAACATTGTAGTCTTGAACAACTCCTCCAGCACTCGTCACTGTGAGTTCTTAATTACATCGATCTACACTAGGCCTAAAAACAACAATCTGATATTCTACCTCACAGGGGAAAGCCTCCTTGGCCCTCCACCCATGACAAAAGTCTAGTAAAACTTAATTCCAAAAAGAAAGTTCCTCCTGAACTCTCAGCGGATTACAGTGGAATTTCAGCTCAGAACAGCCACTAAATCAGTTATGCTTCTCCCTCTAGGGATTTGTGTTGTGCTGAGCCAAAGTGTCTTACATTGCTCACGATAGGGCTGTCATATCGACATTCTCAAGTTGTGCCTCAAAACAATTGACATACCATACTAGCTTAAACCAGAAACACTGGACTCAGGTGTAGAAACAAGGCGTATTCTGGGAAAGCATGCTGGTCTCTTGAGAAGCCTATGAATAATGCTTATTCATCTGTCACTGCTCTCTTCATCTGGATATTACATTACTTCTTCAAAAACATGCCATATCAATTGATTGAAAATGCCCACGTATTATCATAGTCTCTATATTACTTAAAATATTCATTTCTAAAATAATTATATCACATTGTTTGCAATTATTTTATCCAGTTACTGGGGGGCCAGAAGGGGGAGATGTCGACAGCATTGTCCCAGAGACAGAGAGAATGCACCTTGGGGAGAAAAAGCAAGACTTCCCTAACAATTCCACCTGAAGGTTAGCGATATGAAACATTCACTATTTACTACTAAAGTCATGATACATCCATTACGCTTGTTATCAGTTGGTTGGTTCAACAGGACTAGGAATAAAGCAAGGAAGGTAGTGTTGTTGATGTACCTTTACTGCTCCAATATCTGTGTTTACATTCCTTATTCTATTTGTACAGGTATTTTGAACTCTGTTTTAACTGAGCTCGAGAACAGAATACAACACCAAACTACTGTACATTTTACATTTTAGTCATTTAGCAGACACTCTTATCCAGAGCGACTTACAGTTAGTGAGTGCATACATTTTCATACTGGCCCCCCGTGGGAAACGAACCCACAACCCTGGCGTTGCAAACGCCATGCTCTACCAACGGAGCTACACGGGACTGTATGAAACTGATTTGAAATTGAAGACATGCTCCGGTACTTTGGCAACTAGTAAGTCTTTTTTTACCTCCCACTTTGGGCTGGATGTGCCAATGTGTAGTTCATACATGCATAATCTATGAGCAGAATTACTGTTTTACCTCAATTAGCCACAAAGTCCCTAGTTTGAAAGCAACATTTACCCCCTAACGTGGGCCTGCCCCCTAGCAATTTGAGTTTCAGCCAATGAGCTTCAGCCCTGCTCCATTTGAGTGACAGCTAGTAAGACGCACACACAGTAGAGAGAGAGAGAGAGAACAATGACGTGGTGCACATATCTGCACATTTGTGACGTAGTACGCAATTTTCAGGGACCACTTTTGGCTCATGAGAGTTTCTTTCAGAACGAATGGCTAAAAAGTATACAAAAGTACCGTAGAATATCTTCATAACTTAAAATCTGCAGCTTGAGGGCAGTTAGGTATTCTGTTTGAAAGCCTTAACTTTTCTGCCCTTCATTCAGGAACAACTCATAACTCTGCCCAAATCTGGAGCAATGCTGTCAAACTCAACAAGACTAATTATCTACTATATGAGCCTGTATAGAGACCTCAGTCACACTCTCCAGCTAACTAACCAATTAGGAAACCTTGAAGAATTGTACAGAGCAAATGTTACTGTGGAACTCATTAGTTTAACAAACTTGTAAACCCAATGTTTGAGCAGAGACCAGTGACAAGTATTCTCTATTAAATGCAGCTGTATCCAACTCGGCATACCGATTCAAAAACTGTCATTGTAGGCTTAAAAGATTATAAATTATCAGATTATTCTAATTCAGAGCATTTTCTACTAAATCCCAGGCAATTAGTTTTATTCAGCTCAATGTGGCAATACCAGTAAATGTGCAGTCACAGTTTAGGACTACTTGTTCAGTAAATATCCTGAGTATTCCAGCCAGCCACTGTGGTTTCTCTACCATGGTGGTGGTGATTGACAGAGTGGGCTCAATCCAGCCCATTGACCTGATTCTATCCTCCCCATATCATTAAGGGGATATAGCTCCAAATTGGAAAGGCTTAGAAGGAATGTGGATCCCTCCCTAAAGCATATAACATTGAGAGAAAAAAAACTGACAGCCCTCCTAACTAACTTTTTGTTGAAGAGTTTGTTTTTCTGAACCAAATCAAAACCATGCGGAGGTGGAGCTCTAGGTCCCAGCATGCTTTGTGTGAGGGGTTATGGAGGAACAACATGAGGTCAAGACAGGGTTAACCAAAATGTATTTACTTATTATTTCACTACCTCAACATAATAAATACGATATTTGATCACAAGTTCTGCTAAAATTCTAAGTGCTGCAAGGAATACAATATGGAATTGGTTTTCAATATAAATAAGGTTATTAGTAAATAGGGCCTGGCACGTTTGCAAAAAACACCCAGAAAACAAAAACGTTCTGATAGCACTGAAATTATTTACATTTGGTCAACTTGCACACAAAAAATGAGGAAGTGAGGAAAAACATCCAGAAGGAAGAGGTGAGAAGGGAAATATTGTATATTTGTCCACACAATTAATATTTTTATGATGTGAGAGAGCAACATGGATTGCTTGCACAAAAATGGATCATACAACATTTTCTAAAGAAAATAATCTTAATTAGAAACACTTTTTTCATCTCATTGCCAAATTCCGGCAAGGAGTGTACAAAAATGAAGTATGATTCAAACCATAGATCGAAGGAACCGAAATTAAGGCAAAAATTGCAATAGATATAGATCATGTCCATGGGCCATATGAGAATTAAAATTAAACAGGAATAAACACAGGCATGCTAATTTGATGCAACAATTATGCTAATTGACTATCCCTACAAATGGCTTGAGGAACAAAAGAGGATCTCCACAGTGGTATGCAACTTGTGTGTAGAGAGTAGCCATTTAGTTAATGAGGCCCAATGGAGACCTCCAATGAAGCCATCAAGTGCCTGCTCAGAATAACAATGGTCAACAAACGCCTCCCTAATTGAATGGAAGGTACAGGGAGGCAGGGAGAGTTGGTTTGGAACAGTGAAAAGGAGGCAGGGAAAGCAGAGAAAGGAAGGGGGGGTTATTGCTTTTCACTGAAATGCTTGACTGGTCCCATCCAAAGCACTTGCTTTTTAGGGTGAGATAAGGATTGGGGGATGGAAATGCTCTTAACAACAATATTATTTCATTAGGTGGTATTTTAATGACGTTTGCACTATCCACATTGTTTTTAGTTGATAATGATGCATGGAAAGGATCATTTTTAAATTGTTAATTATATACACAATGGATAACATTATCTACATGAAATGCATACAGATATCTAAGGTGATAAGTTATATTATGTCCTAAAAATATATATTTTAAGCAGAAAACGATAATTTGCCTGAACATGCAAGTCTCAGTGTTTTTTCATAATATGCCACACAACCTGGAATACATTGATACAAGTAGGCATACAGTAGGCAGAATTTTAAAGAAAAAAAATACTTTCTAAATCATGGGCATATGATTTTGGGTAAATAACTGGGCTAAAACTAATTTTGAAAGGATATTCAACTCATGAAAATAAGCACATTCAGCAAGACAGGTTATGGGACACTACTGTGGCCTGCTACATCATGTTTTGCCCAGGTCTCTTGACTGCAACATCTGATGATGCCCTGTGCATAAAGTGTATGTCTGTAAGAGTACATGTCGGCTATCACCCACAAGTTATCATTATTGCAAAGTTTTTCTTCATGCATATTATTGAAATTGGTCTCTAGGGAACATTAGATGGGCTTGGAATTTATTTACCTAAATGTTCATATTTATCATAATCACTTCTGCCTCGAAATAAATAGATCAACACATAGATAAATCATGCCCTTCATGTGAATTAGAGATCGAGCCTAAAAGTTTGCAGTTAGTACCCTACAGAAGTCTGACAGGGGCAAAAAATCCCAAAAGAACAAAGAACTAATGTTCATTAGGCTACTCCTTGAGAGGCCACTCGAAGGGAATATGGCGGTCTGGCTGTGCATAACCAATTTTTACACATGCCTTCTGTGGAAAGCAACGCAGATTACTGGCAACACTGAAGAGTAACCTACATTCTAGATTAACTTTGTTATGGTCACTCACCGTTCTTGCGCTAGGGGACAGGGCCCCATTGGATAGGTAGGGGTTGGTAAGATCTGGGATCATAAGAAACGGGTACCCAGGATAATGGGGACTCTTGAAAAAGCCACCATCTTGCTGTCTTCTGAGTGCTGCAGGGACAGAGCATGAATATCAGTAAAGAGAAAGGACATCACATACATATGAAGTGCATTAAACAATAGTAAAGCAAATGCAACAATGTAGCATTGCAAGTGACAGTTCTTACCTTCACTAAAGTAATCCCTGGTTTTCTCGTAACTGTCCAAGTCTGGTCTTGGTTGAGGGCGCCGCTCTGCTTGCTGACAAGGACAGAGGCACACACAGAACAAGAAGGGGGAAAATGTAATAGTAGTCTACATCAGCAATAGGCTATACCAAAAATAACAATTTTGCAACGGGGATGTAGGATAACGCCTATAGACAAGCTTTGCAATAGATCAGACTTCAGATCAGCATATAACGGCCTTACCTCGGAGTCTGACGAGCTACTGTTGTTTTCCGATTCGTTCACTAACGAAGACTTGAGATCATCCAAATCCCTCTCCGCTGATACATTTTCGGATATTTTTTCCTCTTGCTCTCCTTCATCTTTGAATGATATCATTTCATCATTCGCCCCCAAATCATCGCCACCGCCTCCGTTAAGTTGTGGCATTTTTCTGATGAAAAAGTTTCTCCCTGATAAAGTTGACAAGAATGCACGATCGCTCCAACAATTAGAAACAAATCGTCTATTTGCAAAGGGGGGGACCGTCCAGTTTGCGCACTAGAATAAACCCAAAACTGACAGTATGAAAACAAAATGCCACGTTTTCACATCTCCATTTTGATATACTGAATAATCTCCAATTTTTCCATGATGATGAACTCTCCAATAATCCACCAAATGCAACGGTTTTAATTTCGGCGTCAATAGCCGGATAAAGCAACTTCGCAAAAGTGTCTTCTTCACTCTTCCCAGTGGGTTAGTTGTAACCCACTTTCCCTCCGTATGGGTGCTGAAGAATGCAACTTCGATATTCTTCCAGAGACGCTCACAGGCAAACAAACTGGGCATGAACCAATTGAAATTCAAGGATGACGTCAAATTTCACTTCCTAATATCATATGTGAGTTTCAATTCGACAGGCAAAAGATTAGTCTTATTATAAGCATGGAAATCGAACCACAGCTGTTGCTTTCTTCGCAGGACACTCGTTCAGTCAAGAGTTTCGATCAAAACTCTATTTACTTCGAGGAAGTTTACCTTTAATAACTGACCTTTGTATGTTCTTACGTTAACTGTCAAATGATATCCGGTGCCAAATCTATATTTTCGGGTAGGTAAAAACAAAACAAAACTCTTTCCCTCCACATTAGCTAACGGGGAATGCGTTTAAAAACTACTTTGTTGTTCAAGTGGAAGAAAAAGCGCTGCTTGTTCAGAATGCAAAGGAGGAGTTAACGCTGAAAAACGACACTTCATTCACCATGTAGACGGGTATGCTTAAAGGAACAGTTTGACCATATTATACATTACAACGTTACCATTCATATGGAAATAGTATCCTGTTGTTTCAACATCAGCAAAATATCAATGGTTATTATGTGACTAACAATGCTTCCAAGATCCATGACAATGTCAACTAATAGGTCTATACTTTAATTTAAACCTTTTAAATTACAACGTAGCCGGCCATATTTATTAGGCAAATTATTCTACGAAATAGAGAAAGTAATATTCATAAACGTTTGTTCTAGTGGGCACTTACTGACAGAATTTAACTTTCTGACAGAGAGTGAAGTTGGGGTTTCTATCAAGCAGACCAATAATTATGATAATATGATATGATAATACTATACAGTAATCTTTAGAAATACCTAATCCTCCAACAACAATGTATTTATTTTCTTTGTGCTGCTGAATCGAGCAGCAGCACTGTCTCTCATGCTCATGTCATTTACATTTTCATTTTAGTCATTTAGCAGACGCTCTTATCCAGAGCGACTTACAGTTAGTGATTGCATACATTTTTTTGTATTATTATTATTTTTATTTTTTCATACTGGCCCCCCATGCATCCCTGTCTCCTGTCCAAGCTGTGAACCCAGCAGCAGCAGCATGCAGCAACCATGTTGAGCTAAAGCCATGTGATAATGACAGGCTCAGTAAAATAGTCTTAATTACACGCTGCCATGCTAATTGTGTGATGGTGTGTGTTCCTGGAACAATGCACTTGGAAAGGCATGGCCCAGCAGCATGGAATAAGCAGGGTCTGTTAGCAGAGTTTTAGGTTTGGTTTGGTAATGAAATCCTCTTGTTATGATGTTGGATATCCAGCCCTCCCACCTAGACAGGACTGTCCTGGCCATTGCACTAACCCTGGCTGCATGATGCCCAAAAGTTGGGGCTTTTGGGGGTACCATTGAGGGGAATCTACATGTGTGATGTTGACTATTAAACAGGGACAATGCCAACACGTATACCCACTGCAGCTAATATAAGAAGGATAAATAAATTATTAAAGAAATTTTTCTACTATACTTATATATTTCCAAAGAGGTGTGCTATATTCTCAAAGATAAATAGAATGCTTTTTCATTGTAATTTAAGATTAAAATGCACCTCCCCCCTCCGATCATCACCTATAATGAATCATGTCTATAGCTGTCACTGTCAGATCAGTTCAGAAATGCGGCAAAGAAGAAAAATAGTCAAACGGTACCTGTCACTGTGCATTAATATTATAGTACCTGTCTGTCACATGCAAACTTTCCCTAACCTACATTTTCTGTGACAAAAAGTGCAGCCCTGGAAATTGTGCATCTTTCGAGGCTCAGCATTAAATACTAGTGTAGCCTAGTGCATTTAAATGCACGGCTGTGAAGCTGACAAAGGAACATTTTATATATTCATTTAAACTTCATATAGTCCTTTTTTCCTGCATGGAATGTATGTACAGTATCTATTGATCTGTACTGAAAACAAAAATTGTGAAGTGTTAGTGAGGAAGGGCATAAATATTACAATGATTACAACAGTCAAAAAGGGATCTGCCTGATCATTTAGTTGAAGTCAGAAACAAGTTGCCCTCATCTGAGGCACATACTTGACTCTCTTGCACTGGCTCTATGCACACTCACTGGACTCTACCCACACACTGACATATAGGTGGGGGTAAAAGTGACTAGGCAATCAGGATAGATAATAAACATAGTGTGAAAGTGTGTCTATGTGAGTGTGGCGTCAATATGTGACACTCCAACACACACGCACACACACACACACACATGCATATTGATGCCACACTCACATAGACACACTTTCACACTATGTTTATTATCTATCCTGATTGCCTAGTCACTTTTACCCCCACCTATATTTACTGTACATATTACCTCAATTACAGTTGAAGTCGGAAGTTTACATACACTTAGGTTGGAGTCATTTAAACTCGTTTTTCAACCACTCCAGAAATTCCTTGTTAACAAACTATAGTTTTGGCAAGTCGGTTAGGGCATCTACTTTGTGCATGACACAAGTAATTTTTCCAACAATTGTTTACAGACAGATTATTTCACTTGTAATTCACTTTATCACAATTCCAGTGGGTCAGAAGTTTACATACAATAAGTTGACTGTTCCTTTAAACAGCTTGGAAAATTCCAAGAAATTATGTCATGGCTTTAGAAGCTTCTGTTAGGCTAATTGACATCATTTGAGTCAATTGGAGGTGTACCTGTGGATGTATTTCAAGGCCTACCTTCAAACTCAGTGCCTCTTTGCTTGACATCATGGGAAAATCAAAAGAAATCAGCCAAGACCTCAGAAAAAAAATTGTAGACCTCCACAATTCTGGTTCATCCTTGGGAGCAATTTCCAAATGCCTGACGGTACCACGTTCATCTGTACAAACAATAGTATGCAAGTATAAACACCATGGGACCACGCAGCCATCATACCGCTCAGGAAGGAGACGCGTTCTGTCTCCTAGAGATGAACGTACTTTGGTGCTAAAAGTGCAAATAAATCCCAGAAAAACAGCAAAGGACCTTGTGCAGATGCTGGAGGAAACAGGTACAAAAGTATCTATATCCACAGTAAAACAAGTCCTATATCAACATAACCTGAAAGGCCGCTCAGCAAGGAAGAAGCCATTGCTCCAAAGCCGCCATAAAAAAGACAGACTACGGTTTGCAACTGCACATGGGGACAAAGATCGTACTTTTTGGAGAAATGTCCTCTGGTCTGATGAAACAAAAATATAACTGTTTGGCCATAATGACCGTCGTTATGTTTGGAGGAAAAAGGTGGTAGATTGTAAGCCGAAGAACACCATCCCAACCGTGAAGCACGGGGGTGGCAACATCATGCTGTGGGGGTGCTTTGCTGCAGGAGGGTCTGGTGCACTTCACAAAATAGATGGCATCATGAGGAAGGAAAATGATGTGGATATATTGAAGCAACATCTCAAGACATCAGTCAGGAAGTTAAAGCTTAGTCGCAAATGGGTCTTCCAAATGGACAATGACACCAAGCATACTTCCAAAGTCGTGGCAAAATGGCTTAAGGACAACAAAGTCAAGGTATTGGAGTGGCCATCACAAAGCCCTGACCTCAATCCTATAGAAACTTTGTGGGCAGAACTGAAAAAAGCGTGTGCGAGCAAGGAGACCTTCAAACCTGACTCAGTTACACCAGCTCTGTCAGGAGGAATGGGCCAAAATTCACCCAACTTATTGTGGGAAGCTTATGGAAGGCTACCCAAAACGTTTGACCCAAGTTAAACAATTTAAAGGCAATGCTACCAAATACTAATTGAGTGTATGTAAACTTCTGACCCACTGGAAATGTGATGAAATAAATAAAAGCTAAAATAAATCATTCTCTCTACTATTATTCTGACATTTCACATTCTTAAAATAAAGTGGTGATCCTAACTGACCTAAGACAGGGAATTTTTCCTAGGATTAAATGTCAGGAATTGTGAAAAACTGAGTTTAAATGTATTTGGCTAAGGTGTATGTAAACTTCCGACTTCAACTGTACCTCAACTACCCCGTACCCCTGTAGATTGACTCGGTACCAGTACTCCTTGTATATAGCCTCGTTATTGTTATTTTATTGTGTTACTATTTCCTTTTTTTATTTAGCTACTTTTTTATACTTTTTAACTCTACATTGTTGGGAAATGGCTCGTAAGTAAGCATTTCACGGTTAAGTCTACACCTGTTTTGTTCGGCGCATGTGACAATTAACATTTCGTTTATTGAACGATTCATAGTAAACAGATCTACAATATTATTCTGGAGGAGCCGCACAACAGAAAATACACTACATGACCAAAAATATGTGGACACCTGCTTGTCGAACATCTCATTCCAAAATCAAGGGAATTAATATGGAGTTGGTCCCCCCTTTGCTGCTATAACAGCCTCCACTCTTTTGGGAAGGCTTTCCACTAGATGTTGGAACATTGCTTCGGAGACTTGCTTCCATTCAGCCACAAGCGCATTAGTGAGGTCGGGCACTGATGTTGGGCAATTAGGCCTGGCTCGCAGTTGGCGTTTCAATTAATCCCAAAGGTGTTCGATGGGGTTGAGGTCAGAGCTCTGTGCAGGCCAGTCAAGTTCTTCCACACCGATCTCGACAAACCATTTCTGTATGGACCTCGC